TTTGAAAGACAATATAATTCACACACACACACACAAACACATGTATGTGTGTGTGGTTGTGTGAGTGTGTGTGTGTGTGTGTGTGTGTGTGTGTGTGTGTGTGTGTGTGAGTGACACTATGAAACCCTTCATCATTCACACAAAAACACATGCAAATACTGCATGCTCATATTTGCATGTGTTTCCTGTGAATTAAAGGGTTTTATAGTGATCACACACAAACAGTAGTGTGTGAGGTGAACATATGGGCAGTGAGCGCCGCATGAATGAATGCATGAGAAGATGAATGAGTGACTGAGGCATTATGGGACGCCCAGATCGAGTGTCATGTGATCAGAGAGGTGCAGTGTGGGTATCGCATTTCCATACATGAATTAGACATGTGACGAGACGCAGACGCACGAGAGTCCGGATGTCCTGCTGACGGTCAGAAGAGTCTCGTAGATCAGCGGCACGAATCACTGAAAACAAGACCAAACAAACAGAGAACAAGTCAATATTTTAATTCTGCAAGGATGCTTTAAACTGATCAAAAGTGACAGTAAAGACATTTATAATGTTACAAATGATTTCTATTTCAAATAAATGCTATTCTTTGTAACTTTCTGTTCATCTGTGAATCCTGAAAAATAAAATGCACCACAGTTTCCACAAAAATATTGTGCAGCACAACTGTTTTCAACATTGATAATAATCAGAGATGTTTCTTGAGCAGCATATTAGAATGATTTCTGAAGATCATGTGACACTGAAGACTGGAGTAATGATGCTGAAAATACAGCTGCGCATCACAGAAATAAATTACACTTTAACAGATATTCACACAGAAAACAGCTGTTTTACATTAGAATAATATTTCACTAATTTTGCAGTATTTTTGATCAAATAAATGCAGCCTTGCTGAGCAGAAGAGACTCTTTTTCCACTAAAAAAATCTTAATTATTCCAAAGTTTTGACCAAATGTATGATTTATTTTGCTGGAAGATTCACATCAATTAATTAAAGCTAAAAGAGACATGAGCATTTTTCTAGCTCTGAATAAAATATTTCATCAAGTAGTAGTAGGTCATTGTGAGCATAAATAATTTTTAAAATCCTGATCTAGAAAGTCACAGATGACTAGAAATGTCAAGAAAATTACTTGGTTTAAAAAGCTCGGAGTGTCGGAGCATCAGGTATTGTTCTGATTCAGGAGAGTTGTTCACTCTTTTGAGAAAATCATGAATCAGTGAGTTGAACTGAAGATCCAGATCAGTCAGATTTGTGAACGAATCTTCAGAACGCTTCATTAAAAACATCTGCTTTTCATAAAGCATCGTATGACCTCAGAAGATCTGGAGAATAAAGCATCATGTTTGAAGCTTCAGTCCAAACGGGGATTTACTGTACGTAAGAGCACTGTAACGACTCCTCATGTGATTCATAGACAACAGAAACAGGTTGATAAGGACATGAGGGCGAGGAAATGATGACAGAATGATCATTCATGAGTGAACTAACACTTTAAATGCTACATGTGCTTGAACTTCAGTTTATTTCCTGTTCATATGCGCTGGGTGGCACAGTGAGATCAGGATATTTAAAGCATGACGTGATTCAAATTAACCTCTCAGGACTGCACTGTGTGTGTGAGTGTGAGTGTGAGTGTGTGTGTGTGTGAGAGAGAGAGAGAGTGTGTGTGTGTGTGTGTGTGTGTGTGTGTGTGTGTGTGTGTGTGTGTGTGTGTGTGAGAGAGAGA